ATTTATTTATTTATTTATTTATTTATTTATTTATTTATTTATTTATTTATTTATTTATTTATTTATTTATTTAAAACGGTCGGCACACACATACAAAAGACCCCAACCACTTCAGTAAGATTGTATGATGCTGGGCGGATTGACAGCAGTTTACTGAGGCTTCCTCTGAAAATCAGTCCCTAAGTCTGCAGCCTGGAGAAAGGAAGTTGCGCAGGACACCGTTTAAGGGATCTAGGAGTCCAGTACAAGACCAGCTTTGGATGCCTCCAGTGCAAACATGTCTAGCTTAACATTGCAGATGGATTCCTGTTAAATGAGGAGGAAGAGACTTTGTTTTAGGAAATACTGTAGCCCTTTGCACTGACAAAATGATGGGGGAATAGAAGAGTAAACTGCTGTTTAGGAGAATGAACCCCTCTGTCCATCTACCTGTCTGCTAATGCAAAGCTACATTAGCCAACCAGTAGACCTGCCACCCCCCCCCCCAAAAAATCCCTTCATCTGTTCTGCCCATACAGCTGGATTAGTCTGTGGGTGGACCTGTGGCCCCAAAGCTATGTCAGCCTGAGGCAGATATAAGATGTGGAGGCAGAGGCAGGTAGCTGTCCTGTCCTCTCTGCTTTTGTGCCTTTGCTCATCCATGGCCTGCTTCCACTTTGCTGAGGCCCAATGCAGCTGCAGGCTGAGGCCCAATGCCGGTTTAAATTGGCCCTGTTTTCTGCCCATATACCCAGAAGAACCAAAGGCAAACCAATTCCAAAACCCTGCCAGGAAAGCTGACGTTCTCATCAGGAGTCATACTTGACTTGAGGTGTCTGCAGTCTTATAAAATCCAAACCAAGTCACAATTATAGTTTTAATCCTGTTATTATCTGGACCTTCTCCCAGTTGATTTTCTTCTTTGTAGGAAATGTCATGTTTTCCTCTCTTGGTAGAGCAAAATATATTAATGGACTAATATAATCAATCCCTTTGGAATCCAATATAATTTATAGATAATAGTATGTTGCAAAGCTTCATCTTTTGTTAAACAATGTGTTGGTTCTTACGTTTGAATATAAGTTGTATCTAGAAGAAGATCTAACAGAATACATAAATGCACAGTTTTAATAATACACAATCTTTTGCAAAGATCCTTTAGCCATCACTGCCAAATATCCCTCTATCTATGCAGATGTATATGCCTAGATATGCATATAGACATAGAAGATGGGGACTCTAATAGTCATGAGGAGCAACAATCTGGAGACAGGTTGTGAGTTTTAAACTTCAAAGCAGCATGTTCCTTAAGTCTTCTGCAAACTCTCCCTTGGTGTGTGCAGTACCATTTCGGTTGGAGAGGAAATAGCACTTGCAGTGTGAACATGGAAAGCAGGAGCATTAAGGATGGCTTTTTCATCTTTGTCTTTGATGTAGTTAGAAAATTACATAGTTATTGTGTAATGAACACAGTTAAGTTTTCAAGCTCTTCTGCCTATTAAGAGTGGCTAAACTCAAACACTGAACAAAACCATCATGTAATATGTTTTATTTAGACTTAGCATGTTGTATGAACCCATACATACAACATTGGGTTGTGGTTTATTCAGTAAAAACAGTCAAGCCAACCATGGCTTAGTACAAAATGTGAATCAAAAAATTAACTACCAACTTTGTGGTTCCAACATCAGGCCAGCTTGTTCCCTCTCTATCTTGCTTAACATCCAATTTGATGAAGGGTTGTGGCAAACATAAAGCCTTGTTCACAATTTGCTGAATTTTAATTAATTATAATAAAGATACTGCTCAGGTGTTTTGGAATTATTCATCATTCAGTAAAGCCTGAAGTTTCTTTCTATGCATAAAGCCAAAGATACAAATGTTAATGTATCTCATTTTTTTTTAAGCTATGGTAATTTTTTAAAAAAAAACAGACACACATACACAGTGACAATAAATGGTTCTGAAGTATTTGGTATGGTCTCTCCAAACTTTATATTGCCTGTCTTTCAGTCAGAGATCTTGTTTCTGTATCAGTTACCTAGAAGGATACATAAGTGATTGATACTGCTCAGTTTCCTATTGCAAGTGTGACCTTTTTATGGCAAGTCTGTCTAGGATTACAAAGCTTTTACAACAGTTTCCCATATATGTTTACTCATATTCTGCAGTCTTCAGCTGGGCTAAAATGTGAACATGATTGCAAAACTATTCTCATAAAATTATAATTGTATCTCTGCATTAATGACTTTTGTAAATGTTTTTACTTGCTACTTGTAAAGTGCACCCTATTTTAGCTAATTCCATGTTTTACTTTACTTCCATGACTAAGACCACTCAGCATTCAAACACAGAGTAGAACAATAACAATAATTATCTTCCATTGTTATACAAAGATAGTAAGCTTTCTCATATGAGATCAATGGATATAGTAGGCATTTGTCTAGAACAGGAGTTCCCAAACTTTGTGGGATATACCTTTTGGGGGGGGGTGTGGAAATTCTGGGGAGGAAGGGTATAAGGATGAGATATTTTTAGAAAAAATAGTGCAAAAACTACATTAATTTTCAAATGAGGATCTAGGAGACAGTGAAGATTAGAGGGTGTAGGAAGAAAATCAAGACTGGATAAGTTGTTGAGAAGATCAGTGGCAAACTGCTGGAAGATGCCTTTTACATATACCCAAAATATATTCCCATTTAGGTAGGGAAGTGTGAGTATTTTAAAAAAATCAAAACTTTAAAAATCCCTGATTGAAAGCAACTCTTCTTAAGAGTTTCAGATGAGAACCTGAGTATTTCTGTACGCAGAACAGGTACTCTTCCAGTAAGCTATTCACTGTCAGCTGGCCCAATTTATGAAGGTTTTCATAGAAAAGAATAAAAGGGAAACTGCTCATTGAAAAATGCAAGTGAACTTATATTTTATTTCATTCTTTGTTATTAATTTTGATTCACAGTTTTGAGTAGAGTTACTTTTTACTTGTATGAAATCTTGCATTTGCAACATTCATAAAAATAACATTCAGGGAGAAAGACGTTAATCTATGTCATGGAGGCCACCTTGCTTGGAAAGTAATATAAGTGCAGTATTTGGCACTAAAAAGACTTTATATATATTATGGATACAGTAGGTCAAACCAATTTCCTGTTGCTTTTTATAGATGAGAGAGGAGCAAATTAGATGTGGTGGTTTTTTACAGTACAGAAGGGGCCACTGTGACCTGCCAGATGTTGGATTACAACTTCCATCACTTCTGAATATTGTCTCTGCTTACTGGGGCTGATGGAGTAGAGATTTTACTTCCTCTCCCCATGTGATTTTCCTTATCTAGACCAACTGGGCTCTAAAGCTGCTTTTCGCATTTCCATTCTCCAAATAGCTAT